CAACATGATCGTGCCGCCCGAGCGACAGATGGCCATGTTCTACGCCCAAGGGCAACTATTTCTCCTACTCTGGCAGCAGCAGCAGCAGCAGCCTCAAGGTGAACCGCCTCATCTACCCAGCGCCCGAGCCCGGCGTCGGCGGTCTCGGCACGCACCTGACGCTCGACCTCGGCGGGCGCATCCGCTTCGGGCCCGACGTCGAGTGGATCGACGACCCGAGCGACGTGGCACCCAACGCGGCGCGGCTCGACGAGGCCGTCAAGGCCATCCGCGAGTACCTGCCGGGCCTCGACGTCGACGCCCTGGCCCCCGACTATGCCGGCATTCGGCCGAAGCTGCTGCCCACGGGCGCCTTCCACGACTTTGTCGTCCGCAAGGAGGACGGCTTTGAGGGGCTCGTGAGCCTGCTGGGCATCGAGAGCCCCGGGTTGACGAGCTGTCTGGCCATTGCTGAGCGGGTGGAGGCGTTGCTTTACAAGTAGATGGGGCCATTCTGTTTGTTTCTTATCACTGCTTCATGTTGTTTGCTTTGGCGGGTCATGAGCCTGTCCGATACCATGTAGTCGTTTGTGCAATATACGAGTCCACATGAATCATCAAGATGCTGCTGTCTCGGTTGACCGTCCCAACATGCACTCGTTCCGAGAAGGGGGCATGGAAATGTAACATGCTCCAGTCCAGCCTCCATCCCACCATTGGGTTCCCTCATACCACCCTCAACAGATTCCGGTACGAACAAGCAACGGCGAACACTGCATGACGGCCAAGGCTCGAAATAATGGCAATAACGCATACAGCAAAGTAAATGCCCCATGTGTCCTGACGTGTGGGCAGCCCAACGCCGCGCCCATGTTTTGCGACGTCCCCCCTGCCTGACTCCATGGATTTTGTGATTCTTACGCAAGGAAAATAACCGACCCCCAAACGCCCAATGGATGCTTTCTCTTTGCTATCATGTCCGAGTGATTCAGCTCGCGCGCAGCCCGCCTACTGCTTTGGCGTATCCCCCGCCGCGACCGTCTCGGAGATGGAGGCCGTAGGTTTCTCTTCGTCAATGGACGTAGCGCGCGTCAGATTCGACGGCTGGGCTGGTTCGTTGGGGTTGCCGAGGCTGGGACTGCCGGGGGTGGCATCTGCGAGTTGACGTTCTGCACACTTTGTCAGCAGTAATCCAAGGGCGCAGACAACGGGGACAGGTAGGCATACCTAGGTCTCGAATGCGATGTCGCAGCATCTGGTTCTCCCGCACAAGCGTCTGGGTTTCGGCCTGGTAAAAGGCATTCTCATCGCGGCCGCCCAGTCCCAGCTGATCACTCTCGCCGCTGATCGAGGTCGCCCTGAGTCGGGGCGAGGGCCCGCGGCTCGGAGTCCTGGATCGACGACGCAGATCGGCCCTCGCCATGTCAAAGGAGCTGCGGGGGTGGTGGGCGATGCCTGGAGACCGCGAGAAGGAGCCGCCGGTGGGGACGGGCGGGACGGGCGTCGTCTGGGCCAGCGCGGCGTGCTGCGTGGTAGGGGTGCCGTGCTGGGAGCGTTCCGAGGCGATGGCCGAGTCATCAGCGGCTGACGCATCGGGGCCGCCCTCGCGCAGCTGCTGGAGCTGGAGCTGCTGCTCTCTAATGGTGTGCAGCAGCCGGTTCTGGTGAAAGTCAAAGACGAGAGCGTCAGTCAAGGGGTGTGCTGCGATGCCGGCCGAGACGCTTTTCTCATGCTAAACGTACCACTTGAGCTTCCTGCTCGGCCTCGAGCTCCTGGTGGAGCTCGCCGAGGCTGGGTGCGCGATTGTGATGGGGGTCGCCGCCCTGAATCAGATGCGGCGAGCTCGAAATGGGGCTGAGGGCTGGCAGAGGGTAAGACGCCCGCGTTCGGGTTGGGGCTCGAGGGCTAGGTTGTGGCGAACCGGGCTGTTCTTCGGCCACCCATCTCGCCGGGGCCGGGAAGAGGCAGGGTCGTTGAGGTGGAGGTTCATGAGCACGGCAGATCGTCTCCGGCCGGAAGGCGACTGGGAGCCGTGCGGTTGGGAGGCTTGCGTCGGTTCTGGCACGGTGAGCTTAGTGTGAGAGACTGAGGCGGGATGGGACAGGGATGCCCGTGGCGGGGCAGCACGTACGACGAGGAGCATCGTGCTCACGCTGGATGCCGGCGTTGAGGGTAGCGGCGGCCTGTAGCGAGACGGACAGGGACCGCGGCGAGCCGATGGGGGGCGAAGCGCCGCGCGGAGGCATGTGCGTATCACCGTTGGACGTCATGATGGGTTGGTGGTGGTGGTGCTGTTGAGTTTGTGGTCGTCGGTGAAGGAGGAGAGTTGAGTTAGGGGGCCATTTGGGAGCAGCGACGTGTTTTCGAGACGAGGAAGGAGGATAAAGAAGGACGACAAAGAAGGAAGGGGGTCGTCGGGTTCAAGACGGAAGGAGCAGTCGTTCGATCTCTGTGAGAAAGCCGGGGAAGGTGACAGACGCCGGGTGCCTGAGGTAGGTAGGTACCTTCCTTAGGGAGGAGCATGTACCTTACGGAGGGCAGGCAAGCTGGGGTCAGGTGGGGTTTCCCAGCGAGACTCGCAGCAGGCGCACTCGCACTCGAAGCAGGCGCACTGCAATGGCTGACCGCAACGGCCGTCTTGGTCACGGAGCGCGACGAATCAGTTCACTTCTGGCGTGTCCGCCCCCTCCGTTGATCCCGTCACAGCATCAACAAGCGTCGGTGGTGTGAGGGCGAGGCCACTAGAGCTGTTGAGCCGGTTCAAACCTGACGTGACGGCGGAGCAGAGGCGAGCCTTGCCAGAGGTGGGCAGGTCTGGCCGTGGTGGGGTGACGCGCTGCCCCTCCGACGTCACTGGCCCCCGTGACCTCACTGCTCGCCCCTGTGCCTCTGCTCGACCCTCACTGGTTGCCTGTGGCTCACTGCTCGACCCTCTTCTGCTCGACCTCGCGCTGCTTACCTGAGGCGCCTCGCCCAGTCAGCTCGGTGGAAGCAGCATCTCTTCTTCTTGACTTCTGCATCCTCCTCGCCCTCTCCCTTGCTTACTCTCATCTGGCAGAAGGGTCGTACCCATGATGCACGGCTTCAGGCCACCCTCGGAATGTCAATTCGGCTTGCACCAGAACCTTGGGCCGTCGACGATGGCGGTACCTGCCGCGCTGGTCGTAGCTCCCAAGGTACCTAGCTGCCCTGCGGCCAGAGTCAGATGCCCAGCCGGCCTGGTCATTTGGCACCCGCGACGAGAAAGTCCAGGAGTTTGTGACAAATCTGGTCGCGACATGGGCACCCGCAAAACTATAGTCCAGTCGTCGTCGTCGTCGTTGACAAAATGAGCCAATCGACCAGACTGCGTCGCAACATGTTTCACTCAGATCGATGTCCTATCCTAAACCAGGGCTAGAACGCGAAATGTTCCTCCGCAGACTGCATCGTCCCAGTCTCGACCCTCACTCTAGTCGAATCGCAGGTAGGCCGGCCGGCCGGAAGCCTAAAACGTAGAAAGAAAGACAGATAGGATACCATGCGGGCCACGGGACGGGAAGGGGATCAGACCCCCGGCGCCCTACCTGTACATCTGGCTTCCCTTCCTGTCGCGGCTTCATTGTCGGTACTAGTCGCCCGAGGCTAGTGACCTGACATCGCCTGATTTTCGATGGCCAAAAAGCAAAGAAAGGTGTCGGGTGACAAACCGCTGAACCCTCGCTGAGAGCTTGAACGCGTCGAGGTTCAGCGTCTGCCGCACCGCGTAAGATTACGCTGACAGAGACGGTTCGCAGCTCGTCGAGCGAGACGCGTCTATTGGTCTTTGGAGATCCGGCTGTCGGCAGCCGTATTCTGTGCTAGAGATGTGACCCTATGAGTCGGGAAGGAGTGCGTGCGCGCGCGGTCGGCAACCGGAATCCCACGTCGCTGCGTCCCCGAGACCGAGGATAGGGCAGCCAAGAAACGCCAGCCACCAGGAGCTTGACAAGTAGCACGAGTCGACTGACAGCCACCAGGACCGTCAAGTCAACGCCAGCCGATTAGGCTATCAGCGCGGCCAGTCACACGGCCGAGTCCCCTTTCGCCGCCGCGACACCGTCACCGTTCGTCGGATGGTGAGCAGGAGACGCTACTGCAGGAACAGCGGGCGGTGCGGTAGACGCCAGAGCGCGGCGACATGGCGGGTCGGAAGCATCCAATGGTCGGAAAGTCAGTCTTTTCTCTCGCCAAACTCCTATTCCTCTCCTGAGCTTGCCTGTCAGCAGTCGTTGAAATTGTGTGTGGCTACCGTCGCTCGACTCGTACACATATTGCGGCAGGGGCGCCTACGTGAAGACGCAGCTGCTGCGGCGAGCCCGATGAGGACTGCCAATCTATCTCGCTTTGGGGGGTTGATCGCCCGCACAGTTGGATAGCAAAGTTGAAACGTCGCCATTGATCATTTCCTCATCGAGCGAACCGTTTCCCCAAAGGCCAGCATCGACCAGCCCCGGGGAAGCAAGCCTGAAGGGCGTCGAGACCCAGGGCTAAAATAGACTGGGCTTAGCATCTCTGAGGCCCTTGCTCGAATCTTGTCCTGAGCCTTCAGCGAGGCGACCAAGTTCAATCAGTGTTGCTCAACTTTGACGACAGTCGCCTCTGTAGTGACGAGCATCTCGGTCACCTGCCGCTTAGTTTCTGCGTGCTGCTCATCAGCAAGACGGCGACGTTGTGGAGCAGACGGCCATGCATGAACATCTGACATGAAAAAAAATAAAAATAAAAAAAATAGCAGCTCGTGCGCTGGCACAGGATGTCGAGGTCGAAGCGTGCATACGGCGGAGACTTATCGAGTCGGTGATATGCGCACGCAAGTCTGACCACAGTCATGGGCGGGGGTTCGTCCCTCTCCAGCCAGCCATCGCAGGGGGGCCGGCAACCAGTAAGAGGAAAACTGTGGTGAGTGTTTCCGAAGATGAGCAAACCCTAACCTTGGTTTGGGTCCCGAGGATCCAGGATCCAGAAATGGGACCTTGTCGCCAGTTTTGGCCAGGGTACAACCAGGCTGACAAGCCTCGAGGCCTTGGATACGATGCTGCAAAGCCTCATGAGGACAGTTGAATCTTGGTTTGGTCCTCTGCGCATGACGAGCCCCGGTTCTTGCGGCCGGCACTAGTCATTCGTCCTCGCCTTGTTCTCTTTCTCCACTGTCGGAGGGGGTTACCTGATGACTGCAGCAGCAACAGCAATAACAGCATCATCATCAAAAACAAACAATAACAACCGTCTAGGGAGCTTGTGTGCCAAGTAGAAGCAGGCACTTGTGGCCAGGCTTGATGCCCCGCATCTGTAGGCAAAACACGCAGCAGACAGGGCAGATCCAGGTTGAGAATCTTGACAGCACGGGGACGATTTGATGGTCGTACGCAGCGACAGGGCAAAGAAGGCCTCATACGCCGAGGTCAATGTGTGCTTGGTCCCTCATCTCGATATGCCATCTGTCGACCAAAAGCCACCTTGAACCCCCTTTTTTTCCCCCCAGGGGGAGTTTTCCCACCCCCAGAACCAAAAGAGGGGGCCCCCCCCCCCCCCCCCCCCCCCCCCCACGAATGATCCTTCATCGCCCCTGTAGCTGTGTGCGCGGCGTCCATGAGCTATCAAAACTGGAGCGTTGTACCGCAGGGTCCTCGCAGATCCTAGGTATCTTGGTCAGGCACTGAAGATGGCAGACAGCGTGGGGGCGAGTGCGATGAGATAGATGGACGAGGGTACTCGTCACTGCAGAGGCAGCGGCACGCTGTGAACAGATCGAACTTTCATCGGCAGATATAGTACCATGTATCGCCAGCCTTGATACGGTACCAATGAAGCCAAAGAGAGCTAGGTTCATGGCGAACCAGGCCCAAGCCAGTTGCTTGCCAACTGTCACTTTTTTCTTAATCCCCCCCGGGGCCCTTGCTGGTACAGTACATGTAGTTCCTGGCTCCCGATTCCCAAAAGTTCAGGCTGTTGTCTTGCCCTGGAGTGGAGGAGCGGGGCACATGTGGATTATTGGGCAAGGCCCCCCTTGTGGCCCCTCTTGCCTTTCCTCCACAGGAGCCGGTCTGGGCCAGCGACGGACGGGCAAGACGGGTACCAAGGACCCAGATAAATGTCAGGCACGGGCCAGGAACGAGCCAGGCACAAGCCAGACACAGGTCGGACACACGGCGCCACAAGCACCCGCACATGTGTTTTTTTTGCGGGCAGCTGCAAGGGGTAATTGGCGCGTTTCTCTCTCACACATCCAAAACACCCCTGGTTGCTCCTGCTTCCACAACTCCCACCCACCTACCCACCCAAACTGCCTTGTCTGTGTCAGGCTGTGGCAGCCGGGGGTTGCTCCTGAGTCTTGCCTCCCAAGACACCAACCCATTGACAGCCTGCCTCTGCTCCCCACCACTCACACACAGCCTTTTTCACTCAACGTCACGTTGCACAGAGACAGTGTTGTGGAAAGGCCCATTGGCCACACGGGGTACCATTCCGCTGCCCCTCTCCTTGACTGTGCTTCTTCATCTTCATCTTCGTCATCTCAAGTGTATCTACGAACATATCTCTGGCCGAGTCTACCTAGACCCTCACCTGTTCACACACAACACCATCTCGGCACCTCCCTCGATGTTCGCTGTCATCTCTCCCACAACAAACAAACCAACAAGACAACAAAAACAAGGCCGAGGGAAACCAAACATCCAGTGATGGTGGCCCTGTCATGTTTCCAAGCCCTCTGGGGCCGCGCCACCCACTCACACTCTGCACCCCAGCACCCTTCCCTGCCCAGGTTGGTCTTAAAACAGGTGCCGACATCGTCACCAGCTCTGTCGTTCAGGGGGCCAGGGTGTTCCCTTTCAGGACCATGCCTGTTCGATGTCTCCGTCCGAGGCCCCGTGAGCGCCAAGGGCCCCGGTCTCTTACCCCCCCTACTTGGGCTAGTCGCCCTGTCGATGATCGGATCACACACGTCGGCTGTCTGGCGATTTTCTCAACTCAGTCAGCCAGTCTTGCAGCGCCTTTGTCAGTGCCGGGTATTACTCTCTCGTCCCTGAGGTGGGCTCTCGGACGTGGATTCGGCCTGTCTACCTGCGCCGCATCCACCTCCCATATATCCATTGATGCCCTCTTTTCCGCGTCATGCCCCAGGGCCAACTCCCGCTTCCCTTCCCCATTTCTCGTAACCGCTGCCGGCTTTTTGGGTAGCTCACGTCTCTCTCCCACTCACTCAATCACGCCGCGAAACCTGGTTGACGCTGACGCCCGGGATTTGCGA